AACAAAACTTCAAGAACACGGCCACACAGCCCGGAAGACCCACACCAGCCATCCTATTTGAGGTATCTTATTCTTTTTACTAGAGAGACAAACAGTATATACAATATAATACAGGCAGATCATTTTTCTCCTACTGCTTAACAATGTTGTTAAATGCATGTCTACTCAGAAATAAGCTTCATTGAGTTTCATGGGATTGGGGGCAGAATGTGTGAGCCACAAAACAAAAGGTTTTGAGACAACTTCCTTCAGTGTCAAAGCAGTCCATCTGGTGGCAGATTGCAATATCTCTGCCTTTTTGCCTCTACCAGTCAGGCTGTGTGCCCCCCACCCCACCACAGAAACTCTTGCTGCATCATAGCATACATTAATAGACAGAAAATGGCTCTTCCATTTTTCCACAGCATCTGTGCAAGACACCATCCTTTCAGTTGATGACAGCTCGCCCCTGAACAGTTAAAATAGCTGTGAGCATTGATTGCATCACGGCACCACAGCAATTAGTTTGGGATGGGAGGGTTGCAGGGGACAGCAGGCAGGTGGTTTTTATCTCTTATCTCTTATTTCTGGTTTGGACTTCATCCCTGTCTTCTTGCCTTGCTGGACCTGACCCGTGAAGCTTGCTGCAAAACACTGTTGCTTCTTGGACCCTTGAGTCACAGAGCTGTCTGGCTTGCTGGACCAAATGATGGCTCTTCCTGCACACTGTCAAGAAAATTCCAGCACTTTTGAATTGAACGTACATGCAAGACCACACTGCAGGAGAAGGAGAGTTGGCAGGGGAGGGTGATTTATACATTTGTAAAATATTGAATGATTGGGTTCAATATTTTACAAACCAAGTTGGTTGGGTTCCTGTCTTTAGCTGTAAATGTAGGCAAGTTTGCAGTGATAATGCTCTTTTGCTAAATCCACTCTTGATAGACCCTGGCCAAGTTTAAAGCTGACACAACAGAGGTAAGAGCCTCACCTGAGATAGTTTTGCTTCCTTTATACTTGATGTCTTGGACTGGATTTGAGTTGATCTTAGATCTAGTTAACCCCAACACTTTTTTTTTGAGAGCCATAATAATGGATAGTTAGTTTTTGAATTTGATCATAAGGATTTTTAAAAACTACTTTAAATAGTCTTGGAGATTTAGTCAGGTCATGTTTTTAAAAAATGGAAACTGATTTAACTTCTGTTTTCAGTTAATTGGGAGGCATTCTCTCTCTTTCTCCTTTTTGATCTTTATTTTAGTCCTTGCTGAATTCCTGGAGGACTTGCCTGCTAAGATATCCTCATAACTGTTCCACTTTCAGAAAACGATCTGATCTTTTGAAGGTTGCACGGGCCATTCCCAGCCACTGCTCTGTGCGCCTAGTTCTGAACTTGCTCTTCTTGGCTCATCTTGTCCTTCAGAAACTCTCCTGTTCCCTGGCGAGGAAGATGTTGGTGATCCTGAGCCCCTGAAGTCCTTACTTTCCCTCCAGTGGAAAAACAAAGTGCCCAACTTTGCAGCGGAAAGAAGATTCAATGCTGCTGCTGCCCTGAATGAGCCATACTGTGCCATCTGCACTCTCTTCTACCCCTATAACCAGGTAATTGTGCAGCTGTTCTAGGGGCAAATGGATACTTTAAATTCTTCCCTCACCCAGTGAAGACATGGAAGTTTAGCAGTGGTAAAACAGTGGTGGTGAACCACTAGTCCAGGCATTTTTCCAGCATGGCAAGGTTAGTTGTATGTGTGCTTGCGTGGTTGGGGAAGGGATGGGGATCCTGAGATATGTTCATGCATATTGATGTAAGATGTTACTCTCCCTCCTTTAGCTGGCTGGAACTCAGGAGGAGCCGCCTAGAACCTAGGCTTCAATTGATTGATTATGTGCCATCAAGTCTGTGTCAACTTTTCACAGCCACATAGATTTTCTCCATGATGATCTGCCCCTCCCCTGGTCCTTCAGGTCTTCCAATGGTGCACCCAAGATCCTAGATTTAGTACAGCTAAACAAGTGTCTTCACTGAATTCTAGAATGGAGCCCGTCAATCCGTTGCTTGCCCTTTCTAAAGAATAGGGTGAAATCTCTTTTTCTATCCTCTTCTCTTTTTCTGTCCTCTAAGTGCAAAATACCTTGAATTTGAAATATTTCAGGCTTGAAAGAGTTGTTTCAGGTCTGACATGGGGTGTTCCAACCAGGATTCCAGTAATCTTCCAGCCATTCCAACATGTTCAGCATTCAAAAATGGGTTCTAGAACCATCAGAACAGTTGTTTCAAACTCAAACTCTTTTACCCACTGCCATACAGATGTGCCACTTTCAAGCCCCTGGTTTCCTCCATTACTCATGCTCCCAGGTTTGGCTTATGGTCACTCACTTACACATTCACAGTCTGTTGAGGCATGCAGATCTTGTAAGCCCCCCTTGCTTTCTACCTGGGCATTCCAGATAGATGCAACTGGAGCAGACAGACACACAGCCCTGATCAACAGCCAGGAAATAATCAGGGACATGCACTTTCAGCCGAACACTGAGGCACAAGAGGTTCTTTGGAATACACGGAGAT